ATTTTTCACAGGTGTGTTGTACAGGTTAAAGACAAAAAACAGAGTATCACAGGAGACCTACCATCCAGTAAACATGAGGGACTTATGGCATTTGCTCATTTTAAACTTGCCTGATCAAATTTGCCCAGGTTGGCTGACATCAGACTGACCAGCTGGCCTGTGCTTATCTTGTCCAAAACTCGGCTAGAAAGTTTCAAGGTCTAAGGGTCAAGATTAGGAGAAATTCATGCACTTAATACACTGTTATTTTAATATAATGTTATTTAATTGAAGTTGTGCTAGTAATAGATGGCTTAAATTTGATCCATTATTTGAGGAACGATATTGGCATCAGGGACAAATGAATGTAGACAGAAATAACTAGACACAAACCTTTTTATAGATTATGCTAAAGAGTGCGATTCTGATCTGCATGCCCAGTCGGTGCAGCCCAAACATGGCAGGCTGGAGCAGGAGAAAGCGGGTAGTGAATAGCAAGCCGAGACCAAAGGCAAGAAAGTAACCATCGGCTCGCTCCGGTTCATGGACCGGATCAAATGACGCAATTATCCGCCCTAAAAGCTGTGGCTGCACTGTTTTTGTAGCCTCCTGAAAAATAGTAAAAGAAGTGGCATCTTCATTTTCAAATTTACAAACTTATAAATACTATTTACAGAAAAACATCAATATAAATTGATGTTCAAAGTATGTACATACAATAAAAAAAATGAATCAAGTGAGAAGTGGAAGAAAATCTAGCAAGAGGTCAGATGCTGTTCGTTCTTCACTGGGAAAGCCATACTGTACTGTTACCTGCAGTACACAACTTGGAACCACACAACTTCATACCAGTGAGTCAACAATATCCACCCATGTGCAAACAAATTAACGAAATATACACTTCGTGCATTTGAACTCTCTTGTACTAAGCTGTTGTATTTAGAGATCAACACTCCAACCCAAGAACAAAAAAAAGGCCACAGAAAGAAACTATTTGGACACTTACGCCTATATATAGGAGGAAGCCAAATAACAGAAATGGTCGTATAAAGCATCGTGCCAGTGCTCGTAGTAGACTAGGCTTTTTCCTTCCAGATGCAACTTCTCTGTCCCATTCTCTGTTTAGGGAAAGAAAGAAAACTGAATGGAACAGTTAAACAGCATCCACCCACAATAAAATGGGTATAGTCCACATTGTTTGGTGCACTCCTAAAACCAAGGTGATTTAGCGAACTTATTAAACAGAGCAAAGAGACATTGACAAGCTTGGGGAAACGGCAGAGACCGCTCCAACCTGTTAATTGAATAAAAAGTTCAAATTCCCAGCAGTACTGCACATTAGAGGAATAACAGAAATGCTCATCATCTATCACTCACCAGGAGCCTGGCACTTTAAAAGGTCGCATTTGATGCCCATTAGCAGGGCACTGGCATGGACGTATTGTGGTTTATGTGAGACATGGCATGGAAGGAACTTTACTGGAATGGGCAGGGTGACATTTAAGGGGGTTGCCTACATTTTATTCTTCTTTTCTCCCTTCTTTTGTCAAAAAACATCACACAAACACCCAAAGGTGTGATATTTGGCTCTAGTGAGTAACAGGAGCTTTGAGGACACTGAAAGTCACAATAGAAACCAAGACTGTGAGCTCTGTTTGAGTCACTTCTTTATGTAAATTTGCTCACTTTACAAAAATGTGAGTCAAAGTTCTTTCATTCCAGTTCCGGTTACTGAATGGAGGAGACACTGAGAAAATATACTCAGCAATTAACAACAAAATACAGAGGAAATATCAATATATATTGTTTTCAAATATGAAATTGTCCTTAATAAATAATAATATATTAAATGCTCATGCAAATTAAATGGAATGTAACTGGAAATGCAATAAACACATTTCATTCACCAGGATAATGTGGTCTTTTCTATATGAGGGTATATGAATAAATCAGTTTTAAATAACATTTTAAAAATCACAAATTAAAGTGTCAGGAAAAGGTAAGAACACAAATACTTACTTCTCCAAACGCTCTGCAAGAATGTCTGCTGCATCTTGACTGGGAGCTTGATAAACATCAGATAGCCTCAGTTTCTCCCTAAAACCCTTTCTCATTATAGGGCTTGTCCACCTGTAAACAGTCAGAACACACGTTGATTTTGTGATTTCTTTTAATTAAAGTGAACTCTAGTTATTTTTAAGGAGATATCCGGGTAGTTATTTTATGATATCTATGATTATGTTGCTAGACTGTTATAGACTGTTGCTATGGTTACCACCTCAGTCGAACCCAACTTCTATTTGTGAACGTTTACTGCAACCTGCTTGCTCTGGTTAAATTAACTTTTGAACTTTTGAGGTTGTAGAAGCGTTGTTCGAAAACACTGTTTAAAAGTGTTGTTGCCTATGCAGCCTATACACTTGTAAAGCAATAAAAAGAAAAAGACCCCCCTTTCTTTAGGGGGGTCAGAATGAGGTATGAAATGAAACGTGGCTGTTATTTAAATGTTTCTATGAATATATCAGTCATCAGGTGTAGTCTGTGTAGCCTTCACGTGTGAATACACTAGAAAAATGTGAATAAACAAGAAAAATATCTCTGGTAGCCTATTTAAACACACACGTGTCCTAAACACAAGATTTTGTTGTTGTTAGTACACACGAGGACATCTAAAACATTTCATATTTTGGTTGCATCTTACCAGAAAAAGTATTTTGAGAGGCAGCTGGCATCCTCCACAGGTGATCTCTGCATCCTAAAAGTACCCCGGTGGTGACACGCTTACATCGGGTGTCAGCTTAATGCCTCTCCGCTGAATGAAGTTCTCAGGCGCTGTCCTCCACCGTGCGTACAGTTCAGCCCTGATCTCGTCGATATTCGCTGCCAGTATTTAGATGATGAGAAGAATTTCTCGTGTCTCCAATCGTTAATGAGAAGTAACTCGCTTATAAAGAGCGCATACTGACAGCAGCGCTGTGATTCAGTGAGAGCAGTGCGCTCTCTCAGCCCCAAATGCCACAGATCCTTTGGGCATGTCATCCTCAAACTGTCAGTCTTTTACAGAGATGCTCACGTGTTGCTTCACAAGAGCAAGTGGCGTGTCATCATCAGAGAATTCTCGTGGTGTTTGAGAAAGAACGACAATACTTTTAACACATGAAAGTCAACTGCAGCTGTTGTTTAATTTCGCACCTTGCCTTATTTCATAATGCTGGCCAATAAATGAAAAAAAAAATACATTTTTAATAGTTAAAATAAATGAATGACAAAAGAGACTGAAAATCTTAACACTGTAAAACTAAATAATAGAAAATAAAAGAGAAGAGGTTGATGTCTAATTTAGAAGAAATGTTTTAGATGCTGCACTATTTCTGTCACTAATCAAATTAGAATATTTGCGACACTGGCCATTTTAATTCCATTGTAAAAAAAAAAAAAAAAAAAAAAAAAAAAGGTCAGATGTTCTTGCTTCCACTGAAGCACAAGATGTTCTTTTTAATTCTTAAATTATTATGGATAACATGATCATTGTTAACCCGAAACTTTAAAAAACTTAAACAAATGTGAATTTGTGGAAACTTGGGCAACCTTGAGTTTATAGCATAATAGCCTATACCTATGAAAGATTGAAAATGTTATTATAACTCAGCAGGCAATTTTGACTCCACTGAGAAAGTTTTAGGTTAGTTACAGCATGCATGAATTCACAAGAGCAGACTTTAGTAAACTAACAGTGTTAACCTTACTGATTTGACTATACAAAGCAGTAACTAAATCAGCATACTATCATCTCAAAAACATTGCAAGAATTAGATGTTTTGTTTCCAGTCAAGACTTGGAGAAACTTGTTCATGCCTTTATCATCAGCAGAGTTGACTATTGTAACGGTCTCCTCACCGGCCTTCCCAAGAAGACCATTAGACAGCTGCAGCTCATCCAGAATGCTGCTGCCAGAATTCTGACTAGAACCAGAAAATCTGAGCATATCACACCAGTCCTCAGGTCCTTACACTGGCTTCCAGTTATATTTAGGATTGATTTTAAAGTACTTTTACTCGTTTATAAAGCACTCAATGGCCTAGGACCTAAATACATAGCAGATATGTTCACTGAATATAAACCTAACAGACCACTCAGATCATTAGAATAGTGTCAGTTAGAAACACCAAGGGTTCACACAATACAAGGGGAGTCCGCTTTTAGCTATTATGCCACCCGCAGTTGGAATCAGCTTCCAGAAGAGATCAGATGCTCTAAAACATTACCCCCCATTTAAATCCAGACTCAAAACTCATCTGTTTAGCTGTGCATTTATTGAATGAGCACAGTGCGATGTCATTTTAAACCTAAAAAATAATTTTCAAAGTTTTTAAATTAAATTCCTTGTTTTATTGCTGTGATTATTTTTTTCTTTTCTTTCATGTAAAGCACTTTGAATTACCATTGTGTATGAAATGTGCTATATAAATAAACTTGCCTTGCCTTGCCTATACATGTTAGTTAAACATATTCCTGCAAATGCTGGAGTGACGTTTATTATGTCCTTGGATAATCAGATTTTTTGTTTTTTATTTTGAATCTCATATATGTCCATCCATCCATCCGTTCTCTAAACTGCCTGGGTCATGGGGACGCCGGAGTCTATCCCATTTGTCTCGGGGTGCAGATGGTGCAAGCAAACACCCTGGACACACGGCCAGTCTATCACAGGGCTCATACTTATGTTCTATGATTTTATGTATTTTAATAAAATGAATTGGTTTATCAGTCAATTAGATTAGAATAGATGATCCTATATGCAGTAATTATTTAAGTAAAATGTATTTAGCTAGAACTTTATTTTGCTTAAACTATCTAGACACTCTGGAATAATCAACAAAATAGCCCATATGCGTCTTTATATCTGAGAAGCAGCAACAGATTACATTCATGGGAAAAACAGAATAAAACAAAACGATAGACAATTTGGAACGCGAACTAACGCTTCTCCACTGGTCGTCGTTTCATTAATACACACGTGTGGGCGTGGCTTCCGCATACGTCATTACGTCGGTCATCAATAAGAAGTTGCTATTGAAATAAACAGGTGAACAGGAATAGTCCTTATAGTTTACCATAGTCATGTTAAACGAGATTGGATATGCCTTTCCTGCAGGCGATGAAAGTGATGGGAGTAGCGACGAGTGGGACATTGGATATTCTGGTAATAACAAAAAACCATGCGCTGAGGTAAAAGAAAAGGTTCTTCTCACGTCCAACAGTCGTGTTCGCCCCAGCATTCGGCCATTAGTTTAAGATAATTATGTTCACAAATTATTCGCATGATTAAAAAAAGCAACATTTTCATCTTGCTGGCAGTTTTCTGAAGCACACCCAAATGGAGAAGATAAAGTATTCACCTTGAAAAGGGCCATTACTACAGGGAATGTCGACCTGGTGCGCGAGCTCTTAGACAGTGGTAAGTGTTTGATTTATAGCTTTTATTTTGGCGACACAAGTCATAAACTTGCAAAAATATGCTATATCTCATCGTTATCTATCAGGTCTGGACGTGGAGACACGGCTTGGCTTTGGTTGGACTCCTCTCATGTGCGCTGCCCATGTGGCCCACTACGAGCTCGCTGAACTGCTGCTGGATCATGGTGCAAGTGCAAACTTCAGCAGAGGTAAATCGAGAGGTTTCTCTGTTATCCGAAAGACACACATTTTCTGGAAAGACGCACATAAAACCATTGATATGTGTGTCGGAGCTTCATTTCGAATGATGATGCATGTATAGCAGCACTGGCATGAGATAAGGGGCATGTCCCAATACTTTGCACCACTTGTCTTAATTTCCACCATTTTAAGTTTTCAAATGTTTTTTACAGAGCTTTATTGACACATTTCAATGCTTTGTACTTTAAACCTCCAAATGCCTTTTCAGGATTATGTAACAGAAAAAACAATAAAATTGTGACGCCTTCATTTAATTGTGAAATGATAAAGAGCAATTGGAGACGTTTTACAAAATACACATAGAAATCTCTGCACCAATAAAATGTGCAACACATTTTCTGTTTATTTTTACCACCAAATTATATGTAATATCTAATTAAATGAAAAGCTTTTCTCAGTCTTGTGATTTTGGAGAACATGAGCTCCTGAACATGATGAATGATGGGATGTGCTTAGTCTCAAATACTCAAACTACTCTGAAGCGATATTAGGAATAGTGTGGATTTAGCATTTGTCAAGGGCACTGAACTCTGGCATTTATCAGACCTGGGACAGTCTTGCACACCTGCTTCCTGTCACGTGCAACTGGCCAAGACCGCAAGTGTGGATTTTTGGGGCAGGTTTTTCTGTTATTGGACATTTAAAATAATATAATAAAATATTCAATGCACCCTTAAGAATTTAAAGTCAAAGGTTGAGTTTGACAAGGTAAGAGCAGGTGCTGTCGATCTGATGTTGCACTACATGGCCTTCCTGTGACTCTTGTGGGTTTTTATTGGAGAGGATGGGGTTTTGCATCAGCCACAGGGAAGGAACCCAATGATATCAAATCAAAAGAGTATGGCTAGACTTAATCCTTCAGGGGGAATAGTTTGGTTTTCATTAATACGGTCAACATTTTAGTAGATTACATTCTTTTGATTTCAACCCACGTGCTAGAGACGATGGAAACCAATTAGAGTTTGCCTTAGTGTCCTTCATCTGCCATTACTTAATGTTTGTGACGCACATGCCGAGCTATCGTAACGTGTCATTAATCTGCTGGTGTGTTTTTGGTTTACACTGGCTCTCTTAATTTTTTTTTTTCAAAATTGAATGCATCTGTTGGTCATGGTGAAATGCCGGCACATGAGCGACTGAAGCGATGTAGACACTTCCACTGTGTCCACCAAGAAGAGTTCCAGAGGGGGTCTTGAGCAACTGAAGCTGCGGGCTTAGACAGGAAATAATTAAATGTGAATGCAGCTGCCACTTCCTGGTCTGTGTTCCGCACAGAAGGGGAAGAGTGCAGAAGTGATTGATAATGGCGGTATACAGCGTGTGGTGCTGGCGTCATTGCGTTGGCCCAACACTGGAGCTTTATTTATTTTCCTGCTCCACCGCAGGCGCAACTAAACGGTGTCTGCATCCTACTCCCAAGAAGACCTGCTCCTGCAGTCTAAACGCAGCTATCATCACAACACACAAACCCCTAACATAGACTGCTCCCGGTCGGATACGTGACCGAAGCACTAGCAGTGTCCAACAACATTAGACCATATGACCATATTTACCTGCAAACCTGTGGTTTGAACAATTCCACTGCAGAACTTTTTTTGCGTATTATAATTTAATTATGAAGTGGTATGTCTGTGTTTTTCCATAACATCCTTATATAGACCACTATACAGTTCTGATGGCTGCTTGCACAGCAGCGTCTGCCACAGAAGAGATGATCTCCAGGTGTGTGGCTCTGCTGCTCAGTCGCAACGCTGACCCGAATGTCTGCAACAGGTAAGAAAGTCACTTTGCAGGTCAGTTTGGGCTTTTATTGACATGTAGCAACCAGGATGCGCTGTCATACAAAAGTTTTTAGTTACTGATGGCCTTTTTTATCACTTGAGTGTAAATGTCCAGTAACAGGGGTTACCAAAATAAAAAGCATTCAGCTGGGCCTCATATAGCTTTTATTAGCCTACCAGTATTATTGATTATGCATCTCCTGTTAGTGTGCATGATTTTCAAAATGAAGATTAAACAAGATAATAAAAGACATTTCAAAAGATTTCTATTTCCAATAAATGCTGTTTTTTTTTGGGGCCAGTTTTTCTGTTATTGGACATTTAAAATAATATAATAAAATATTCAATGCACCCTTAAGAATTTAAAGTCAAAGGTTGAGTTTGACAAGGTAAGAGCAGGTGCTGTCGATCTGATGTTGCACTACATGGCCTTCCTGTGACTCTTGTGGGTTTTTATTGGAGAGGATGGGGTTTTGCATCAGCCACAGGGAAGGAACCCAATGATATCAAATCAAAAGAGTATGGCTAGACTTAATCCTTCAGGGGGAATAGTTTGGTTTTCATTAATACGGTCAACATTTTAGTAGATTACATTCTTTTGATTTCAACCCACGTGCTAGAGACGATGGAAACCAATTAGAGTTTGCCTTAGTGTCCTTCATCTGCCATTACTTAATGTTTGTGACGCACATGCCGAGCTATCGTAACGTGTCATTAATCTGCTGGTGTGTTTTTGGTTTACACTGGCTCTCTTAATTTTTTTTTTTCAAAATTGAATGCATCTGTTGGTCATGGTGAAATGCCGGCACATGAGCGACTGAAGCGATGTAGACACTTCCACTGTGTCCACCAAGAAGAGTTCCAGAGGGGGTCTTGAGCAACTGAAGCTGCGGGCTTAGACAGGAAATAATTAAATGTGAATGCAGCTGCCACTTCCTGGTCTGTGTTCCGCACAGAAGGGGAAGAGTGCAGAAGTGATTGATAATGGCGGTATACAGCGTGTGGTGCTGGCGTCATTGCGTTGGCCCAACACTGGAGCTTTATTTATTTTCCTGCTCCACCGCAGGCGCAACTAAACGGTGTCTGCATCCTACTCCCAAGAAGACCTGCTCCTGCAGTCTAAACGCAGCTATCATCACAACACACAAAACCCTAACATAGACTGCTCCCGGTCGGATACGTGACCGAAGCACTAGCAGTGTCCAACAACATTAGACCATATGACCATATTTACCTGCAAACCTGTGGTTTGAACAATTCCACTGCAGAACTTTTTTTGCGTATTATAATTTAATTATGAAGTGGTATGTCTGTGTTTTTCCATAACATCCTTATATAGACCACTATACAGTTCTGATGGCTGCTTGCACAGCAGCGTCTGCCACAGAAGAGATGATCTCCAGGTGTGTGGCTCTGCTGCTCAGTCGCAACGCTGACCCGAATGTCTGCAACAGGTAAGAAAGTCACTTTGCAGGTCAGTTTGGGCTTTTATTGACATGTAGCAACCAGGATGCGCTGTCATACAAAAGTTTTTAGTTACTGATGGCCTTTTTTATCACTTGAGTGTAAATGTCCAGTAACAGGGGTTACCAAAATAAAAAGCATTCAGCTGGGCCTCATATAGCTTTTATTAGCCTACCAGTATTATTGATTATGCATCTCCTGTTAGTGTGCATGATTTTCAAAATGAAAGAAATATGCATGAATTTAGTGCAATGGTTCTCAACCAGTGGGCCGGAGCCCACTAGAAGGCCTCAGCAAACTTCCAAAGAGGGCCTCAAGATGACTTAAAATAGTTGCAAATAAGCCAAAACAACTAAAAAAAATTTAATTAGCCTTTAGGGTGCTTTAACACTGGCAGTTTAGTTTGAAACAGGACATCGACTTGGGTGCGCACTTGTTCAGCAAGTAAAGTAACCTGCACACGTGTTTCATCCAATAACAATATCATTAGTTCGACAAAGCACTTGTAGGCAAGAGTGAGCATGCAGTGTAATTGTGCAAAGTGAGTACAATCAGGGCAGCAAATGAATGGTTCGCTATCAGCTTTCTCCTCAAAAGAGTCAGTGTGCAAGCCTTCATTCGTTCACTTTGCTGTGCATAACGGCACCAAATTAATTGATAACCCAACATATTCACCTGCGTTCTGTTTTCTGTCATGCTCCGTGCACGTTTGTGGTGACGTAAGATTAACACAAATGCACTAGGGTTCAAAGGAATCAAGTAAATGTGAAACCAGACCAACGCCACAGGGGCATCGGGAACAATCAGACTTGGACTGCAGCAAACATGCCCAGTGTATAAAATTAGTTTTATCCATTTTAAAAAGACCTCACTGTGGACTTTTATCCTTCATCTCATCTACATGCATCCAGGTCTAACAACAGATAGTCACCAGCTCTGTCAAGCCCTGTTGATTGAGAGTATGTGAAAAAATTCTCCCAGCAGCTATAAAACATTAACACTGACTAGACAGTGTTTCGAACAACTCTGTTTGGGAGGTGATGTGTACTCAATAGTTTATTGACTAAGGCATTTTTCAGGGCAGCCTCCAGCTGCTAATCATCTGCCACCCAAACCGCTCACATGATCTGGAGTGTCAACAAGCATGTTGTTCACTTGACTGGTGAGAAAGTGATTGTGTCCTACCCAGACAAAATATTTAAAGATCGGTAACAAGGAACAGGGAGATGTTGGCAAGTGATGGGCCTGTCAAACATTCATCCTCTTCCTCTGCTCTCCCTAGTGCTCCACACATAACTTACAATGTGCAGCAGCTGCATTTCCCTAAATCTTTTTGTTAACAAATACAGTATGCTTAGACTAAGCAAGACATCATTTGGGAAGAGGGTCTGTTTCAGATTAGTTGAGATTCATTATTTGAAAAATTGCTGAGATTAAAATTTTACATTTGGTTTCCATTCTCTTTCACACGTGAAATCACAGGCCTATTATACATGTTTAAATGCCTCATTATGATTATATAATTTAATCAAGTATATCATTATAAGAAATGAATGGAGCTGCACAATTAATCAAAATAAAAGTAAAATCGCAATATGTCTTAGTGCATTTATCAAATCAAAGGTTGCTATTTAAATAATTACATAGTCTGTTGCGCAGCCATGTGTTAATTTACATGAATTCAAGAAGTTTAAAGCATTTCGCCAAAATAAAAGTGAGGATTTGAAATCAGGTTGAAGGTTTGAATGTTTGAAAGGGCCCAGTGACCTTACAGAAAGCATTTTTTGCAGAGCATGCAAGTCTTCTGCAACTGCCTCTTCCGTTCTTTCATGTAGTTTATTTGATGATGTGCCCAGTGAGGCTTTTGAGCAGCCATTGCTGACAAGCATATGTTGTTCCAAATTATTCTGATTTCAAACATCAGCTTAGTTATTGTTGCATTTATATGAGAAGCATTTATAGCAGCTTCTTGCTATTCCCATTGATGTAAATACTGGAAAATTATTGCTTTACCCATAGGATAAACCCTGTTTACAGCAATTGGGATCTTGTTTTATTGATTCAATAAGCTTTCTTATTGCTCCCTTGGTTTTGGTAGAAGGACATCCTGGGAAAATGCATTTAAGACTGCACACATTTGTCACAAATACAGTCACTGAAGGGGAAATGCGTAGATAGCGAGGAGATAATGTCAAGATGAATGATGGAGGCCTTGCTCACCTGTGTCTGATGTTGTGGAGTTCAGTTCACCACCGTCACATTCTCTGGGAAATGCCACCCAGGTTGATTAATAGCGTCAGGATTTTCCCATAGATTTAAGGTGTGATGTTTGACACTGTGATCTTTAGATAGAACTGTATATTTACGACAGTGACGCAACCTCTGAACGCAGACGACTTGAAAGCTCCTTTTTTTACAGGTGATATTCCCAAGCAAGGTGTAAAATGTTTTTGTCTTTGTTTACTTTGGCGCAGTAGTGTTCTTTATGGTGATTTGATTATTCTGAATGGAGTTTCGATTGAAGGTGATTTGCAAACAGGGGCGTCGTGTGCCTGTGTTTATGAGGGGGCTTCAGTGGATGTCCAGCTCACTTGGTGCCCTAAGCAAGATATCAGACATAACTAAGTTTTGTTTTAGTAGTTCTTTATGAGTAATTGTAACTGTAAGGTGTGTTAGCGTAGAGGTACAGTTTTTGTTTATCATGCGAAATGATTTCAAATTGATTAAAATACAATATAAAGTTATTTTTGTAATGAACCAAGACAAATGATTAAATTTGACAGTTAGTAATGCACTTTCTCATTGAATGAAGTATCCCCCCCCCACACACAAGATTCAGGATTATTATTTTTAACTAAAACCATAAAATACTTACCGTTTTTTAAAAATAAAATACATGTTAACTCAAATAAAATGTCTTGCCAAGGCAACATTTGCAATTTTCATTCAGTTTAACTTGATGTGCTAAAATTGCTACAAAAATTTAAATAAAAACTATATGAACATAATGGGGGAAAAAATAATAAAAAACAAACAACAATATTACAAACTTAAATTAAAATGAAACTGGTAATTTCAATATATATATATATATATATATATATATAATAGTATCTCGATGTCACTAAAATAACACTGACTACAATTATTTGTGCAAATTAATTATTAAAAAGTTTTGGAAGTTGCATTCAAAACTTGCTTGGTTCAACAAATCTGAGAGGTCATGTTGTTTACAGATATATTTAGAAGGTGTAAAGTAAGTGACAAGTTTGAATTTCTGTGCCGTCTGAAACTTGCAAGGGTTTTATTTATTTCAGATATTGTTTTCGTGAAACTGCCAGAACACTCTGTATTGTACTTTAAGATGGTGACTATGGCAAAAAACACCAATGGTGCAAGTCACTAGGCTTAGATTATCACTATTAAAGTTTTGCTTTGTTTGCTTCTGTCAATTCCATCTCAGTTTAATGCAACAAATGACTCATGTTAAATATAAATGTGTCAGAGAACATAACCCCCTGTATGTGATTTATTGCCATCAGCATGATCACAGTAACATCTGGCAGTTCTGTTGTCTTGTTTTGTGCCCTTGCTCAGGAGCAGTATGACGTGTCTGATGCTGGCAGCCAGAGATGGCTATTGTCAGTTGATTAATTTGCTGGTTTCACATGGAGCAAAGCTGAACTTTCAGAATGATAATGGACTTACGGTAAGATCATCAATATTAACAAAAAGTTGTTTTACCTGCATTTTATCATATTCATTGTCCGTTTGTATCTATTATTATATTATATGCGTTCTCACTTTACACTTTAATATTATTCTGATTGAGCAGGCCCTCATAATAGCAGTGCAATATGGACGTGAAGTGGCCGTGTTGAAACTGCTTCAACTAGGAGCGGATAAGTTCATCAAAACCAAAATGGGGAAGACGGCAGCTGACATGGCTAAAATGTCCAGTTACCCTGAGGTAGATCACCTCTGTATCTGAAGAGATCTCCAATGCCAGAATTCATAGAAATGTTATATTTGGACTACAGTAAAAAAAAAATACTTTTAGGCTTGACAATGAGAAATATTAAATTCATTGCTCTTTCAGATCTCCAGGATCCTTAGTTCGACAGAGCTCTCTACTGTAAATGTCAGTGCACCCTCCAAAGCTGAGGCACTGTATACATTTCTCAATCACAACCCTGATCTTTCCTCTGCCTGCAAAGAGAGGTGAGCCTCTGTGTCTGTGACTTGGCTTGTAACGCCCTCTAGTGGTGACTGAAAATGAAAAGAAATCCTTTTATTTTGAAAGAAAAAGACATGGTACACAAGATTTCCATTTCAAACTGAATGCTGCTCATTAGAGCTTTATATTCATTAGAAAATCTGTGTTTAGAACTTGATAAGAAATGTTACTTGAGCAGAAAATCAGCATATTAGAATGATTTCTGAAGGATCATGTGACACTAACGACTGACGTAATGACTGCTGAAAATTCAGCTTTGCTATCACAGGAATAAATTACATTTTATAATATATTAAAATAGAAAACAGTTTTAAATTGTAATATTTTACTGTGATTTTGATCAAATAAATGCAGCCTTGTGAGCATAAGAGACTTCTTTTAAAAAAAAAATTAAATACAATTTTTTTGAGTGGTATATGTAATTAAATATGTAATAGCAGTCATATGCTGGTCCTCACTATAAAATATATTTAATCGTTTTACAAGTCACCATGAAAGCAGCTAGGCTCAAATATTCATATTGTAAATGTGGGTTCATTCTTTTGTTTGACATAACAGTTCCTCTAAGCTGAGTGATATTGAACTTCTGCTGCATGGTTTGAATCTGGATCATCTTTCGGACATCATGGTGGTGAGCCAGTCGATTTATTTTATTGTTGCACTAAAACAAATGTTTACTGTAATGCACTTACAACAGAAGTCTATGGGGCCAGTGTTCCAGAAGCGTTAAGGTTATATTTTTGTTAACATGTTTTCATTCATTATTTATTCAAATGTTTATTAGTTGATCTGTGAAATTGTTCAAATTGTCCTTTTGTCCCTTGGGAATAGTTTTTTAGATTATTTAACTTATGGTTTGTGTTACTGCCACAATTCCTGTGGATGAAGTTTGTTTTTAACATTTGTTCGACTGCAATGTATGATTGCCCAATAGACCTTCATTGTAAATGAACTGCAATGTTGATTTACCTGTATTTTATGAGGTAATTACTATTGTCTCTATTGAATATTCCTTCTCCCGTGTCTCTTACACCTCTGTTTCTTTTTTTTACTGGAAGGAAAATGATGTCACTTGGAGTGACCTGTTGATCATGGAGAAGGGGGACTTGGAAAAGGTATGTAGATCATGTCTTTTTAATAGATGTAAAGATGAAAAAGAACACAAATTTTGTGCAAAACAAACATTTGTTTTCTGAGTTAATGGCTAAAATTATACTGAATTGGATACTTTTTGGATGAATATACATATTTTTAGATATTAGATAAATATACATCTAAAAAAACTAAATATATTGTATTTCGCTTAAAATGTTGGTTTACAAGGATAAATCAGCTCTCTTTCTCTTAGATTGGCGTAACTAATCCTGAGGATCTAAAGAAGATTCTCAGCACAATGGAGCTGATGCACCTTGATAAAGTAGATCTGGATACCCTGATGCCTCTTAATAACATAGACAGCGGGTAAAGCTCATTTAGCCTCAAGCTAATCTAAACTTTATTGTATGTTTATTATGTATCCACATCATATCCCAACCATATTTGTTCATTCATCATTAGTGCTATGAACCGTTTCCCATGCTGGTAACAGTCTGCAGTGCAGCTAAAGCACTACAGAACACATAGCAGTACAACAGTGTCTTGACAAGGCTTCCATGTAAGCCTGTCTTAATGGTTTAAGCTCTAGTAATGATTTATAAGGTGAGAAATGAACTAGTGCCGTTTCTGCATGCACCAGGCTCTGACGGATGATGGCGAGGAGGCGGCGTGGCGGCCATGTTTGACTTTAAAGTCCACACTTAATTAATCTAATCAATCTGTAATTTCTTTATTCAATGTCAGGGAGGTACAGAGAGGGCAGACAGACACTCAGTAAATTGTGCAGTTAAATCCTCTTCTGATAGGTGCTCCATAAACACACATTAAAAGGATAGAGTTACAGTGAAATTCATTGCCACAGGTGATTTCCTGCCTAATGGTATGTATGTAAACATAAGCACTGCTGTTTTCACAAGAGTTCATAAGTTGTTTCCGGAAGATAACTCCGTGTAGCTTTGATATTTTTAGGACAAAAAAGATGCAACAAGATTTTTAGTCTATTAAACTGTTATTATTTTGAGTGGCTGTATTATTTAAAATGTATCAACTAAATGCCAGTGAATGTGACCTGATGATGGAAAATGATGGATCTGCTCATGGTGCCTGTTGGGACTGTGGCATTAACCCGGTGGCACTTAGTCATCCACAAAAGCCCATCACTCATTCAGTCATAGAAAAACTAACAAAGTGACGATCAGAGCCCATCTCTCCGTCCTGGAGGGGATAGTAACTCCACAGTGTCTGACAGTGTTTACCACAGGCTCTGACAGAGTGTTAGGAGAAGAAAACGGCTGCTTGGGGAAATGCTCTGTTAAGATAACACTATCAACATCACGTGGTATGTGTGAGCCATTACAGGAGTTTGAAAATTGTAAGTGATGGCAGAAGTGCGCCAAGAATGCTGTCACCAAATCAAGTGATACCATTGGTCATTTAAGAAATATCTGCTTCAGCTTTCAATGTTTGGGATTTTAGGATAAAGCGAACTGAAGGAAATATTTAAGGAAACAATGGTATCACTTGGTTGATACCATTTGGTGATAGAACGATCGATAGAGAGATAGATAGATATACTGTAACAGATTTTATAAAATTTTTCTTACACATGGTTTGTGATTCTTACATATTTTGTTCATCAAGATAATCTTCACAAATGAACAACTTTTTCTGGATTTTTAAGCCTAATTACAATTGGTAGAATTAAAAAGCTAATCATATACTATAAACAAACTACATCACGGTTGCATGAATTCAATGTCACCATCACTAAGCTTCTGAAAAAAAAAAGTTAAAATGGTTCACAAAAGTGTGATTTATAAACAAAATCAGGCTGTGTGTAGAGGAGTTTACCTGTTCGGTTTGATTACTGGAAATGGGCGAATTACTGATGGATTTTATGTCATAGAATAAAATGTAAAAGTGTCTTTAGCTTGTGTTATTTCAGACATTTAACCAAAAACCCATCAGGGCGATGCGAAGTGCTAAAATGCTCATTTCCGGGTTTTGCCCTACAAATATGTCATCCCTGGCTGCAGCACTCTAGAGGAAGTAGAAAGTTTATTTGACTACTTCGTAAGTTCATGAACAAAGGTTGTCTTTTGATAAATGTTTTCTTCTTTTTCTCAGGAGGGAAGATTTCCTTAATTTTCTGATCAGTCTGAAACAGCAGTGCTGTTACTTGACAGAAACCTTACAGGATGTCATCAGCAGATTCCCACGTAGCCCCTCTGAGGTTCGTTGTGTACTTTAAGTGTCTGCGTCCTGTGTAAAACATGACCAATTAGAAGTATTCCTGTCTGTTTCTTTAGTCTCGTGTAGCCAGGCTTCTGATTTGTGGAAGTCTGGTCTACATTGCTTTTTATTCCACCCACTTAGAAAGAAAGAGAATATCTGACTGACATGTAAAGCAACCAACAATAGTTATTTTTGTTTTTATGTGCGGTTTAGGAGTGGATCTGAAATAAATAAATAACAATTAAAATAATGGTACATTAGCCAAATGTTTGTACACAAAACACTGTAAAAATAGGAAAAATGTATAGATATGGTCAAAATCAACAAAAAGAGAGTTTTTTTTTTTTGTGTGTGCGTGTGTTCCATGGTGAGAAAAAAAATAGAATTTGAAGAACATTAGGGATGGTTAATTTTTAATTTTAAAGCAACTAATGCTCAAAAAGGTGTGACTAGACCGGACTGCCCAATATTTGTGAATGACTGATCTCTGCCACAATGTTTTAAACCAACATTTTTACCAACAATAATAATGCAATCTTACTTTCAAAATGGCTTCATCTGTCAAAAAAACTCTGATGGGCCAAATGCTTACATCAGTTTAAATGTGCATGGCCTCTTAAGAGTGACTTCTCCAAGTGCCTGAAATTATCCATGATTACAGCCTTGAATAAATGGGAACAAATTATTCCATTGTATTTTAAAACCTTCAAGTCATTTTCAACTGAAGTGGTAGTAAGCATACAGAGCTATTGTATCTAATGTTTTGTGCCTGCTTGTTTGTGATGCCTTTTGTTTGACAGGTTGTTCTTACATGTGATCCCAAGAAAGAGGCTCAAGCCCTTTGCACCGAGCTAGTAACTCAGACAGGAGACCTCCAGAAGGAGATTCTCTGTCTTAAGACCCTACTCAGCAAGGTCAGTCATGTCCACATTCCTTCATGTCCTCATCTTTCTTCTCTGACGCTTCTATTTACAATAGTTTTGTCTAGTAAAAATACTGTGAGACCAACAGGGGCAGCCGTTTCATCCCACTTAGATGTTCCTATAGTCTCTTTCATGATGATGAAGGGTAATCAGTTGTGAACCAATAAATTGAGTATGTTATCCGCTAGCACATTCCAGGGAAACTCTCATCAATCTTCAATGTGGAATTAGTTTAACCAGACGTGTTTGGAGCTTGCTGTAGCTCCTGGTGTTTTCAAAGCATTCAACATTTGATTGTGGCAACCCATCTGAATAGAATTCTAATATAGAATGCTTTCTCAGATAGTGTGTTGTCTTGTCATAAGAAACATTCCACTGCACCAGCGGTGGCAAACTCCGGTCCTGGAGAGCCGCAGCCCTGCAGAGTACAGCTCCAACCCTAATTAAAACTCACCTGCCTGTAGCTTTCTAGTTACCCTTCAGACCTTGATTAGCTTGTTCAGGTGTCTTTGATTAGGGTTGAAGCAAAACTGCAGGGCTGCGGCTCTCCAGGACCGACGTTCGCCACCCCTGCACTACACCATAACTGTAAGTGTAAGGTGTTCCTGTGGCTCAGTGTTAGAGCATTGCGTTAGCAGCGCAAAAGGTTGTGGGTTCTATTCCCAGGGAACACGCATACTGGTAAAAAATGTATAGCCTGAGTGCACTGTAAGTCGCTTTGGATAAAAGCGTCTGCTAAATGCAT